CGTGTTGTCCTCTCATTTACTCTCTTCAGTGCATTCTCTCGTGATTGTTATATATTTATTTTGTTAAATAATCTGCACAGTAGCCTCAATTATGTATACTGCCGCAACTACTGGAATTCAGTAGTTGTGTCCCACCTGCATCAGCTAGGTGTCGGTGCTTGAAGACCTTCATAGGTCCCTCGCGACTCCAGTCACACAATTAACATGATCAGTATATTTCGTTTGTTGTAACAGTTTTCCATATGCTTGTTTTTTGTGTTGACAAATAAAAGATTGATTGATTGCAGAGTTTTTCATCCTTTTTCATTGAGCTACAGTAATTATGCCAGCTTTGCCTTTTTTGCTTTTAATATTATTATTCTTTATTCATATCTTCGTTTTCATTTTAAGGAGAGCCGCTTTTCTTATTCGTATAGCTTTGTCGCAATCAGCATTCCACCTTGGAATTACATTTTTGTATGGAATTTTTATCGTGTTATTGATCTATACTTGCTGCTAGAATAAATTTATATCGCATTTGACCATATTTTCATTGATGCGTGTTCTACATAATTCCTAGAATTTATCCCAGTTTGCTTCGTCTAGTCGCCATGATTTTATGTTATTACGTTTGTCACTCACTTGTGCTATATATATTGTAATAAGTTTGCCTATTACGTGGTCACTTCCCATCAATTCGTAGGTCACAATCGTATTACATGTTTGGGCAATATCAGGAGATGCTATCGTTAAATCCAATAATGACCTAGTTCCTAGTATTTATTCTGTAGGCCTAATGAAATAAATTTATTCTAGTGGGACAGAAATTCCCACGTGAACGTGTTTGTCATGGCAATTGATTAAAAAAGCGTATTGTGATATTTCAATATCAGATGGAAAGTATACGTTGGTTACGTAACTTACGGTTTCCGAAAGTGACAACCGAGCTTCTGCTCCATTTTGAGGTTGCACTGGTATTTCAACAAGAGATATATATATTATCTTTTATAATAAATAATAAAGTAGGATATGCTATAGGATTATACTTCAGTGTGAGATTGCTTTATTGAATAGCTATTACGTCAAGTTTTTGGTCTGAAGCACGAATAACATTTATTAATTCACCCAGTATCCGGTATAGACTGTGACAATATCATTGTAGGTTAGTTACCTTTATTGTTTTGGTTGAATGCTGCAGTTTTGAGATTGCCAGCGTCGATATCAAACCCATCTAATAATCTGATCCAACATCTAATAATCTGGAGTGTATAAAATAATATATTATCTATTTGACTGGAGCTCTTGCTGCAGTTTTACTAGCATACTGTTTTTCAATCATTTTATTTGTCACCTCTTTTGCGTGAATATTTAACCTTATATTAAGGAAACGTTTCACAATGTCGGTTATAACATTTTGAAAAATGGGAAATTATATTTCAAGCAGTCAACTTCATCTGTCACAAAAGTAACTGGCAAACATATGTATATTATTAAAGGCATTGATATTGGCGCGATATATAGTTTATACTCCGCGCAAAAATACGATTGCTTTTTTGATGGGTGGTATAAATATTGGGTAAAACTATCAATTTTCAAATTTTTACCATGTGTGTAAGACCGAAAAACAGTGTTAAGGAATGATTGTGGTAACGATTGATTAAATATAGATAATAATTCCTGAAAAACAAGGACCTTGATATATACATTTGGTATCTGATTATGGGACGTAACTAAATGGCCAAATCAAAAAAATTGAACCCCGCGTCTTTATAGGGTTCCGCCGCAAACATCAGGGCTAATTTTTCATTGTTTGATATCATTACAATTACAATCAAGTTTTATCAATGAGAACGTGGAAGACGTGATGGCGTCCCTAGATCACCTAGTGAATATTTTACATTTCCCGACGCAATGCAAAGTTGATAGGTGCTGTAACACCAGACGCGGCGATTGGTCTTCAAAATTTGTACGTTATAATGTACAACTTGTACACTTCGATGAAATTCATTAGGCCGCACAATGGGCTAGCCAAGAGACCGTTTGTATTCGATAATTTTTGGAGCAACTGTTGCAACAGCTCGTTAAAACAAGAATTGTCCCGAGAAAATTCGGACATTTCATCAGCTTCTGGAAGGTTTAATGCAAAACGCAGGCTTTAAACGTTCGGCATGGTGTGAACAGGTATCACAATACCAGTTCAAGTATTACCTGCTTTTTTGTTTTGAATCAAGGGTCTCCAACTCAAAATACGTCACAGGCCACTTTATGAAACTTATCGGCGACGCGGGCCACAAACCAACAAATTTGGTACAATATTGATACAAAAAAAAATACCAAAAGGAATCTGAATATATTTGTTAAAATTATACTGGAATCTTCCACAAAACAAGACATGAAACATATTCATTTACTTGTTCTGGATATTTGGCACCGTTTTGTAGCGATGAAAGAAGACTCGATGTTGGCCTTATTTTGCTTTGGTTTGCTAGTATTAAGACAGCACGCAAACGCTCGTCTGTTTGTCGTAAGCAAAAGGCTAATTTTTTAACTTTAATTGTTGAAACAAAAATGATGCTGCTGTTACGTCACATGCCTCCAACATACATCCTTTAATAAAGCTTCATTCAACGAAAGAACGCGACTATTTTGTAATCATCTCATTTATGGCAAAGCTTGATTTCAATGAAGATTCGCAAGTTTTGTGTATGTCTGAAAAATGTGTTGGAGATCCCTGCTTTAGGTTAATGACGTTTCACACTTGCGAGGGAAAGCGATATGTGTTTTTCTTAAAAAACGCAGAGTTGCTACCTTGCAACGTAATTGCGAAACGGTGCTGCGTAACGAAGTAATTAGGGAACGTCGTTGTTTAATACAAGTTCGCGCAGCGGACACGTGAAGAATTGGAGAACATTGAATGAAATAGCTTACAAAATTTTACTGATACAGGATAAATTCAATCTAATGATACCATTCGAAACAAGGTCCAAGTTAAAACAAGGACGAATCGAAGTTTTTGTTATTTAATTCAAAGACTTTTCAAAAAAATTTCACGCTTTTCAATTTTGCCGATTTCTGCACGTTAATCGCGACATTTTATCTCCATCTCATAATTATAATAAGTCTCCTAGATTGTCTTAATATAATATAAGGTTCGAGAAATATGAGGATTTTAAAGTTGCATAACTCACACGGGAAAATAAGATAGATAACTATCGCAACTTTCACGAAACCGCATGATACCAGTATTGTTCCACTAGGCAAATAACAAAAGAAAAATGCTAATGTTACCTGGATAAAATATAAAACAGCAACAAGCTACAAATAAATTGACGAACGAAATCTGATTAGCAGACTGACGAAGCTAGAACAAACAGAGGTTGCCGCGTTTCCGCAATTTGTCGGACCCAAAATGGCGTCCGATATGCATCATTGAATTAGGTGACTCCACTCTTACTCTGCATGATACCAGTATTGTTCCACTAGGCAAATAGCAAAAGAAAAATGCTAATGTTACCTGGATAAAATATAAAACAGTAACAAGCTCCAAACAAATTGACGAACAAAACCTGATTAGCAGACTGACGAAGCTAAAACAAACAGAGGTGTCGCGTTTCGGGATTTGTCGGACCCAAAATGGCGTCCGATATTCATCATTGAATTAGGTGACTCCACTCTTATTATAGTCACTTTGCTTTGGTGGTTTACGCATACCTCGCGACCCCCTAAAAGTATAAAAGTGATAAAAAATTTATTGCACAGTTTTGCATAAGTTGTCTATGATATCTCTATCTCTGTAAAAACGATAGACGATAGCTTTTACCCGCATTCCAATGCAGTTTGAATAATTGGCTACTAACGTTTTTGAGGCGACATAGCATCTTTCGGATTTCGAAAGTTTTTGGCCATTTTACCCACTCAACATTAAAAAGCATCCACTTACGCCAACACCAGTGTGACAAAACAATAAGTATTTCAGCTATTTCATCGAAAGACTGCACGCCGTTTAGTATTTGAGCATATAATCAGGTCGCTAGATTTTACAAAATTTATTTTCCTTCAAATTTGAGTCGCTTAAAAAAGGTTGAACTAATGTTTTAAATTACACCACAGTGATCCTTTTCGTAACCTTGAGCACAGTTGGCTTCCCCTCATATAGTTCTAATTACGCTTTAGTTTTAGCCGTTCAATACGATGGTGTTCGACGGGGGTTTGTGGAATAGCGCAGGGGTGCGACAGGCTCGCAAAGGTTAAGAAACACTGTGTTAGGCCAAAATTTCAAATACAAATACTACGGGAGTCACTTGGCTAGTCACCGAACTCGTAATAGAACTAAAATTGGAATAAAATTATGTCCTAAACCTAACCTGGTACACATACTACGTTCCGGTGTACGCCATTTTGATTCACATACTACATGTATGTGTATAATTTCTCTTTGTTTTTTACACAAATTACTGCTCTGTCATCAATGTGATAATTATTATTGTTCGACTTTAAAAGCCATTGTTAATGATATTTCTATATTTTAATTATTGCCGAATCTGTGATAATCTGATTGCCTCATTGTTACTTTTGGAGCTCCAGAAGTATTTGAGTCCGAAACATGTCCAGTGAATATTTAATTACAGAAACTATAATAAATAAAACTAATCTTGATATTTGTTCTGATTCTATGGATTTGTCCACACTCAAAAACTTCATGTGACCTATCAACACCACGACTAGCATTATTAACTTTCCGACTCTCACATATACATTGTATCTCTAATTTTATCCATATTTCATCGCCAATGCTTTATCTGACTGATTTCTTATATACAGCAAAGGTCAGGAGCCTCGTTGGTCTAACCGGTCTTGTATACTGGCCATCACAAATAATGTTGACCAATTAATATTTTTTGTGTCTGTTGCTTCAAATGTTTTAAAGTGCTGAAATTATTTGTGAGATAAATCTCCCTCTCTCTCTCTCTCTTGTCCCAACCAGATGTAAAATCAAAATACGATGCTTGGCGGGTTTAATTTCCGAAAAATGGGTGGCTTCGTGCTGAAACTGTTTATTAAATTTACCTGGCTTAAAAGGTCATCGTGAAGGCTCTAGTTTAGGCAATCATTACCTTCCTGGCATACCACGACGTGAGCTTGGAGTAAGAACGCCAGGATGGGAATCTTACGTAAAGGTATTATATTGTAGTACCTAAATACATAAATAGGATGAAAATTGATTTAAAAATAATACATGTCGAGTTTAGTAGGTACCGGAACCGGTTTCCTCGGTGAGTGGGACTGAAGGATGTTAGATGAATTACGGTCATGAAAATCTAGTGCACAAAATAATTTGGAGGACATGCCCGTATTACATGGAGAAAAAATTAGGACGTTGCCAATTAGAATGATTGAATTGAATCTAGTCGTGGACTTCGTTTTAAGTCTCAGCTAGAGGCATGGAAGGGTAAACAGGTGAAATACTAGAATTGAAAACTAAACAAAAAGTAATAGCGCCGAAGATAACAACTTGGTTAGTGGAAACAAATGGAATACAAAAATTAGAAACAATCAACATTCTAAATGATGGATAACGAAATAATAGACTACTTTGGCATTGCTGTACGGGCTACCCAAGATTCCAATTTTACATATTTGCTTCGCAAAGAACTAAGGAAAAAGAGATGGACAGGCATTTTCTATGAAACATTGCACCTAGCACACTACAGCACATCACAACGTCGGATTTTATTTACAAAGAGGAAATCAACCAAAAGACATTTCGATTTATTTATTACTCATTCTGACACTGCTTTTATCTAACTCACTAGTTCGCACTTGTTTACGCCAATTTAATAAACACAGCCCGAATCATGTCCGTTTCGACGTAAACAGTTTTAAATTAGAACCTACGCACCCGCATTTTGTTTGTAACACAAGTTAGACGCCCGAACGTTGGAACGATAACACGTTCGTGTTTTTATCTTTTTTTTTGTAATATGTTTGTGAGTGTAATATCATGGGTGAACAGGCACATGTATTTATACGTGTTTTAAACCCTACTCGAGGTTTTGCCTGTTTTCCCGATTTCCCATTATTCTGTGTGTTTGTTTTATGTGTTCATTATTTGTTATGTGTGTTTTTTTGGGGAAATCAAAATAAAGATTATTATTATTATTATAAATGCAATATAACTAGTGTTCAATGGATCAATCTAACACAGACTCACCAGTCACCACCTACCGGTACAGAGCTAAGTTACCGGTACCTTTTCATGAAATCCATGAAAGTTTACAATATGTAATAAAAAATTTTAAAGGGTTCATATTGCAATTTTTGCCAAGAAGTTGTCAAAAAATAATGAAATAGAAGCGGTACCGGTAATGGAGAGAAACTGCACACAGATCTGCAGTTGGAGTAAAACATCTTCAGAAAAGATTGTGTCATGGGATTTGATTTTTATCATCGGTTGGATCGTTTGTTTGGTCACTATGATATTGATATATATAAAAAACATAATTTGAAATCGAATTATAATAGATACATCTTCGACAATATTTCCTCAAAATGTGCCAAATTCTTCCAACCATGTAGATCATTGTAGCTTCCAAATGCTGCAATTCTGTTATTCCTGTTTCAATGTACATACGTGTATTATCAAACCTTGGATGAAGTATATTTCTGTAAAGTTATGGGGAAAATTTCAGACTGTCTGTGAAATTTGCAGGAAAATTAATGGGGCGATAAACTTCATGTTCACACATCAGTTTTTTTGACATTTTTCCAGGCATCTTGCAGCTGCAGCAAATTTTTCATGCAAACAGACGTGGTATTAGTGAATACGCGAAGAAGTATGGACAACGCATTGGAGACCAGGAATTAAAACCCAGATTGCACCCGGTTTCTCTCACAGTTCAATTTGGTATTGGCGCTCTACTGCTAAAGCATGTAAGTTTTGTCTTGGGTTTCGATTTGCCAAAAAAAATATTGAGGGCTGGTATTCAAAAAGTGAGATAAGATTTTACTTTATCAAGTGCATAAAGTAAAAAATGACTCGTTTTTCAGGTTGTTGATGATCGAAAAGAGCATTACAAAGTGTTCACAGAAAATTATGAAGAGGGCAGGGAGTATTTGAAAAATACAGATTCTCTTAACAGATTCCTATATAAGCGCTACCCAGAAGTTGACAAATTTCTTGAAAACAAAGTGGGAAATATTGATTTCTATGAACCAACCAACAAAGAGATTTTCATCAGAAAAGACGTCAAAATTACAAACGTTAAAGATCCATGATAGACCCTATGTTTAGTTTTATAGTTCAGAATAAATCTTTGCTCCATGTAACATTTTCTTTGCTCGGCTAGGTAATATCAGCAACTGCTTCATAATGCACCCCATATTGGTTAACCTCACAACTTCCTCTCTCAATTCTAAGTGAAATGAGAGCTGTGTGAACTCAAGTGTCGATTGCTGTAATGAGCCGGAAAGAATTTCTAATTTTGTCAGTAGTTCGTCACATCGAAAGAAAGACCGCAAGTCGGATAGGAACTGGGTAGGCTTGAATAAAAATGAGCAGAAAAAAAAGCTAAACCTAGAGAATACGAAAGAGTTTGGGTGTACTGGAAACACGGTGCTCCAAAGTATGCATGTGTACCAACATCGAGATAACTAATTTTGTTCGCCTATTTTACATCAAGTTGTGTAAATGGAGTGAAACCAATGAGCAGGGGTATATTCACTTGGCTAACACGAACAGTCCCAAACTCGTAATAGATACATAGTACGGGAAACACTGTCCAAACCCAAAAGAGTTGATTATTCTCTCTCATCAATGTAATACAGCTTTACTTATCTTACATCAACCACCAAAAATTTTGTTTGTTCTTGCTAGATTAGCCTTCAACTCTCCTCTGTACTGGCTAGTGTTTTTCTATCAAGGCAAGATGCCTTGCTTCCAGTAAACCCTTATATAAAAAAGCACCCCATGTTCTTGGGTCTTTCTAGAACAGGCACACTTTTTAAAGCTAATTTATTTGAAAGGTTAAACAGGGAATTTGGGTGCCAAGAATATAGAGAAGTTATCATGTCTGACCAATACTGCGACAAGCCCATTGATTGATATTTATTTTCACAAGCAGTATCCGAGGAACGCTCTTTCAAAACAGAACACATTGGGTAATCAGGGTAAAAACCTCTATATGTTCAACGAACTAGTATAAAAGCAACGAACTAGTATAAATAATTTAATGGCAGTTTTATTTACATTAATCGCCTTTAGATTTAACAAATTTGAAACTTTTTAGTGGGTCTTCCTGCCTCTTCTTGTATTTAGGATTTAGTCTGCTTTTGCCCTTGAATGTCCGCTTTCTTGATTTATTTGTTGCAATTCCTTTTAGGGTTTCTGGAACTAAATAAGAACAGAATTATTAATTAGGTATTCCACATCTCATCCATTGTGAGTTTACGATTGGTACAGACAGGAGATATACAAAATCTAAAATACTTGACACGACAGTATTTGTGCCAATTTTTGTGAAAATTTGACTGAATTTGCCGAATTTGACATGTTCAATTCATATATAATAATTTTTTTCAAATTGTATGTTAAATTTTCAAGAACATCACACACCGAGAGTGCTGAGAACCTGAAGAATATAAAAAATATTAATAAACATACTCAAGTACTCTGGAACATGCTTCATGTGAGGCTTTACTTTGGATGGCCTCAAAGCTGTATTGTGTCGCAAAATTTGAAGATCCCGTGGGTTTTCTTCAAAATAAGCCTGCAATTTTTCAGAGTTCAACAACTCTGTTCTTAGTTCACGTAATCTCGCATCTTTTATGGCCTGCTTTGTAACAATTCTCATGGCATCACGACAACGATATCTGAACCCTTCAATTTCTTTCATCGCAAATTGATATGGACGCATACAACCTTCCCCAACTTCATTTTGTGCATTTTTAAGTAAATCTATTTCATCTCCGGTCACAAAGGATAATGCTGTTCCTGTAGAAAACCCTCTTGCAGTTCTGCCAACTCTATGAATATACGCTTGTACACTTTCCGGGAAATCAAAATTCAGTACATTAGCAACCCTCTGAAAGTCTACACCTCTGGAAACACTAAACTCATTAGACTTCTTTTGTCGTTTCTTTTTTCCAGTCGGGACATGACTTTCATCGCTAGGCATTAAGTGGTTTTCATCTGCGGCTATGATGTAGTCATAAAGATCTTTATTGAATTGATCAACAGTATGACATCTTGATTTGACAGGGAGTTCAGAATTTAGGATGCAACAGAATATCGAAAACTGTTCAAGAAACAGCTTAAGTCTGTAACATCTTGATACAGAGTTCACAAATATGATGGTCTTTCCTCTCATCAGTCTTAACTTCAATAAAGCATACAAAAGGAGATACTTGTCATCCTCCGACTCGCAAATAACGTGATATTGAGTGAGGCGATCACTTTGTGGAAGAGATGATTCATGCAATTGCAAAGTTACTGGGTTTTTAAGCACTAAATTTTTCAAAGAGCTGAGATCATCAGAAAAGGTAGCAGAGGTTACAAAAGTCTGATATGAATTTGGCAAAAATTTAACAAGCTTATGAATATCATCCTCATATCCAAATGATAATACCAAATCGGCCTCGTCAATCACCAGCCATGAGATGGTAGAAATATTTAATTTCCCTGCTGCAACTTGAGCAAGAATACGACCCGGAGTGCCAATGAGAACATCTGCATTTATATTCAAAACCGAACTTGAGCCATTCACATCCTTTTCTGACAAATTTAAGCAGGTAATGGAATCCATGCAACAGCATATAAGCTCGTTGAACATTTCAGCGACTTGTTCTGATAGTTCTTTTGAGGGAATCAAAACCAAAGCTTTTGTACTGGCCAGCATGTCTGCGTCACTTTCACCTAATATCGATTGAATTATAGGAATTGCATAAGCTGCTGTCTTTCCAGAACCAGTACGAGCCTTCGTCAGTATATCCTTACCATTTAATGCAAGAGGGATTGCTTTTTCCTGTACTAAAGTAGGATGTGGCCATTTGAGACTAGCAATGGCTTTGAGAAGTCTATTGTCTAATCCCATTTCATGAAATTGAAACTGTTCTTTTGGTTCTGTTTCAGTGGGTGTATTTGTTTCCTCAATTATATTCTTAGGTGTGTTGCTAAGATTTGGACATTCCTGTATTTCCTTGCTTTCAGTGTTTTCATCCATGTCTTTATCTACCGATATGTCATTCCTATCTGATTTAGTCTCCATTTCTTGTTTGTGCTTTTTCTTGCTTTTTTGTTTGCCTTCTTTTGGCATGTGGTGTGTATTTGGCCTGCTTCCAGCTACACGGTTGATACTCCTGATAGTAAAAAGCTTGAAAAGGACCTGTAAAAATTGATTATTAATGCATGTTTAGGGTTGATCGACAGGTTAAAATATAGGTCTCGATGTAGAGTATAGCGAGATAAACATTGTAACAAAAAAATAATGTGAGAGCACTGAATGCAGGAATGGAACAAAAATGTATATAGGCCTATATATCCTTTAATGAAAAGAAAAACCCCAAGATACATGACAAAATAAAAGAGTTCTCATTAGATCCCAACGGCTTGAAAAAACCTAAATTTGCTACTATGTGAAGGGCCCGGCCCATAGTGCCATACAAGGAAATATATTGCAACTTTCACAATACTGACAAAATATGAATCTAAGAACTGCATGAAGTTAAGTTAGTTACAACTTACGCATACACATATTAATTTAAGTTGAGTAACAGCGGGTGGTTCACTAAACTCTCAATGCATTTGTTCAATTGTGTTTTAAAAGTATAACAGCCCAAAAGTTTAATACAATCAATCAAGTATTTTTATTGGTTGATTTCTGGCTAAAGACTTGTTCTTCTGTTTTTTTGTGTGTGCATGCTGGTGAGTGGGCACATGCAGACATGATATTTTTCAAGTTTCAACCTTTTAGAGGTTTTGCTCGCTCTCCAGAATTCTTCATTTTTAATTTGTGTGTATTGGTGTATTGTGGAGTTTCCAAAATAAACCTATTTATTTTAAATCTATCTATCATTTAGGCTTTTTTTAATTAAAAATAGTTCACTCATTCTGCACTCCTCTTTCTAATAAGTTAAGCGGTTTTTAAAAAACAGTAAATTGGAATTGCACCGGTATACCGGTACCGTCTATTTATCTTTCAATCTTTTTTTACGTTTTGGAAATAGAACCCATTCTAAATTTGCCGAAAATAGCCTGGAAAATAGACTCAATAATCATATCAGCCATATCAGAAAACAATAAGCTGAAATTGTATACCGGTACTAGTAGATCTACTACGGCAAAGATTTCCGTGTTCCAAGTCCCAACCCAACACAGACTCGTGGTGACCGAAGTATTGCGCACCTGAATACTGGAAAAAGCATCAGGAACATGTGTGCGTGAGTGTGATAGGAGTCGTTTGTATCACGGATGCTTTCAGCTCATTGGCGCTTCGCTATGATCGAGTGCGACTTCACATATTTTTCTTGGGGAAGAGAAAAGCCGATTGTACGGCTTAATCATATTGCGTACCGCGTCAATATTATAAAAGTTCACTATGTATCCGTTAATAAAAAATTCAAGTCTAAATTAGTCATCGGCACACAATTTTAGTGAATTGTGTCGTTGGTAGGGTTGGGATTTCGGGACCAGTTTTTGAAATCCCGGTAGAGATATCCCGGGATTGAGCCGTATGATCCCGGGATTTTTCGGAATTAAGTAAAAGATTGAAACAACTTACATGACAATAAAATAACGTATTTCATGTAATATCGGCGCAGAAATATTGAAGCATCTATCAGTAATCAGTAGTTAATTTTTCCCCATACTGAAAATAGGCACAAACATACAAATTGCAATAGGATGGGATTTACATATTTATCCCGGGGGAGGGGAAAGCCGATAAGACGGCTTATCAATATGGCGAACCACGGCCTCTCGTCCGGTTACCATTCCAAGTCGGCTATGGGATTAGTTATATTGTTTGTTTTCGGAAGCATGAACTTGGTGGTGGAGGAGGCCGTAACCGACCAGCGGTTACGTGAACCACCCAACGACGGCGAGGAGTCCAGCTATCCTCTCGCACATACCCATCCCTGCATGGGATTCGAACCTGCGGACCCATGCAGAGTAATTAGAGGTGCGGTGGCGAGCGTATTCCTAACGCTTAGCCCGTTGAGCCACACCGCCGCGCAATAAATTATAAATAAGCCATATTTCGGGGTGAAGGAGACGCGGGAAACTAGTACTGGTTATCGAGCACCGGCATCCATAAAATAAGTCTAATACTATATTATGAAGAAGAAAAAGTCGAGCTAAGTGGCCTATATGTAAATTTAAAAATATCTAGGTTAGTGGTTCTCAACCTTTTTTATATCGCGGCACACTATTTAGCTCTTTCAATTCTCGCGGCACACCCATCACAAAATACGAACATTTTCTACCCATAAAGATTGCGATAGTCGAACATGAACAAATGGTTAATAGTTACCGGGACCGATATTACGAATGTTTTCATACTTTAAAGCAAACGAGAGCGTCTTCGGATCTCACATTATTGGAAAAGTCATGCGGCTGCACGGATAATACGTGGTATTCAAACGCACCGATGATCATGGCCCATGGGCTTCGGTTTTGCTCGTCTTTTTCCCGTTCCACGTTACGCCCTTATTATTATCACACGTATTCTCATTTTTTCACAACCCAATTCATTTTTGTTACAATTCAATACGTTTCTCCCATTGCCAAAATCATTCAATAGTGTTATTGTCGGCATTTGCGAGAGAAATGAAAGAGGCAAACAATCTGTAATTCATTGCAACAGCCAAATTTTATCGATAAAAACACAAAATAGGTTTAAAGTTGTTATGAACAATTTCCACCGCTGGACGTATCTTTTCCCGGTATGAATTTTGTGCAAGGCCCGAGCATAATTTGATGGCAAAGAATATAGCATTTACTATGTCGAACGCTTATTCGACTTTTCAGACCGCAGAAACTATATCCGAAAAAGATACCCGTTTTTGTGTTCAAGATATGAAATAATCGTCAATTTCACCACGCTTCCGTGAAGTAGGGCAATTTACTAAATTTCTGAAGGTTTTATCAAGTTTCATTGCATCAGTGTTTGGACCAACACGCGTTTCGCCAGATTACTGACATAATTACGTATCACGGTTCCATTACATTTGAACCCACGTACATTTGAACCCATGACAATTGCACCTGTATGCTATTGCACCTATGGAATTTTTTTGTTTCACGGATAGTTAAACCCATACGAACCCTAACCCATGGGTTTTAGCACCCGCATATAGATTGAACCCGTGGATATACGCATGGGTTCAAATGTACATGGGTCCAAATGTACGGTCACCACGTATCACAAATATAGGCAAAATAGTATATTTTCATCGGATCGAATGAAATGATTTTAACGAATTGTCGAATATCGGGTTGAACTCTGGATTTTATTCTGATTTTTATCGTTTGGGTCGGCTTTGATCTTTCTTTTCACCGTTTGTAAATTAACTGTCACAATTTTAAGCTAAAAATATTATCACTTCTGACGCCGGAACGCAAATAGCTATGAAGACGATAGTGGATTCTTCTTGATTTTACTTTTCTATTGTGGCAGTTTTATTTCCGTATTCAATAGTGAATAAAAACCCCGCAAAGTCATTGCGTGAAGCCTGAATGCTATTTTGAGTTCAAATTGGGATTAAATAATTTGGCACTCATGACAATTCTACTAGTCAAATAATAATTCGTTGGTAAAATTTTGCACCATAATTCCACTTAGTCAGACTTACTCAAACTGTAAACGTGGATGGGGGTTTTCTCAAAATAAGTATTAAATAAAATTGTATAACCTACCATTTGTGAGAATATCTATACATGGATAACAAAGCCTTTAACACGGGAATCAATTCTCATTAAATAAACACACACTTATGTATCATAAAAATATATCTATTTGCACATAGCACCACATTTACGAAACACCAGGTAAACAAATACAAATTATGGAGAAAAATAAGTCCTTCAATATCAAAAGAAGTTTGGAAAGTTTAAGTAGGACTGGTCTCAAACGCCTGTCAGGTTAATCCAGTCAATCATATAATACCATTTAAGTTTTGCGTAACGCCAAAGATAACAAAATGTGTAAGTGATTAAGTTTATCTAACGTGTTGAAAGTGTCAGAAATTACATTTGATAGTACACTTTATCTTCATTTGTCATATACAAAGCTAGGATAATGCTTTGGAAGATTTCTTCGATGCAGGGGGTACTTTTTCTGGGGAATGGGTAGGAACTTCCGGCAACAGTGCATCCAATTTTGAAGCTCGCATTCCGAGACTTGGCAACGGCTGCTTTGATTTGAGCGGAGGAAGATTACCACCAGGAGACATCGGAGAACTATTTGACAGAAAAAGAGGAATAAAATGCAATGTATGTTTATTAGGTTCTGTTGTCTATATCCAAAAAACAAGAGAAAACATACTGTATTACAGGGCTCTGCAAAATGGAGGCCTTGACTCGACCCCCCAGTGGGCCAAGGGTCGCGGAATGTTTCGAGAACATTGTTAAAATATTGACAAAAAACATTTTAAACAGATGAGAAAAACAGCTGAGAATGAGAATAATTTATTTAGAGAAACAAAGAAGTGCGCCTCTTTTCGTTTTCTGCAAAAGATGCACTCGTGGCGCGTGCCTTGTACGAAACTGTTTACGTTTCTTGTGCTACAATGAACGCCGAATGTGCATGTTGCGCTAACAGTACTGTAATCCCTCGCGTACTGCTCCAATTTCACAAGTCACACTAACTTTTGTACTGCTTTAAAGTACACATATTCATGTAGGTATGTTACAAAAAATTAAAGTTTATCCGATTTAAATAAAAACTGCGCCGGTGGATCTGAGTGAAAATAAGAAAACAATACCAAGTTTATAAAAAAACAATCAAGAAATAACGGAGATATCGGAATTTTAGTACCACCAGACAGGCCAATTCTCTCCATAAGGATTGTATTACTTTTTTCATAAGAACTGTAATAAATATGAAAAAAGAACACATATCAATCACTAGTCTTTCGATCTGCGTCACATCTATGGAATATTGAGACTATTTCAGGATTTTATTCTGTCAACGGTCTTGATACCGCCGAAAGATCGTCGCAAATAAACGCTGGTGTTGTGCACGTTAGTTTGACAGTGGTTCATTGTCGGTAACATTTAACGATGTTTCGATTGTACAAATTTCATAAAAATCGGTAAGTATCAAGTTAGAAAAGAAATACACACGTCCACATCAATTTTATTGGTGTCCATAGACCAGCGTTTCCCAAACTGTGTTCCTGAGCATCTGAGCATCTTCCAAGTGTTCCGTGGGAGAGGGACCAAAATTACGACTAAATTGGTCGCCATGGCTATCTCGGGATCGTGAAGTTGTCGAACAACTGGCGATCTTTCAAGATCGCGTCACGGTCGGCCTAAAGCGGACAACGGCAAAAGGTCAACCCTTCTTTCTCAAGCTCTGCCTGGTTTTACTTGGAAATGCTGAAAAAATCACTCATATTCGCTAAACTCGATTCAGCAGATAAACAAACTCCAGCTCGCAAAATTGCACCAAGTACTTCTAACTCAATTGTTAGGTAACACTCGAGGCAAACACTACGTAATAGAATGTAAACGACAAAGAAAGATAAAATGAATTTATTGATTCAGATACACAGCAAAATATTCGCTGATTATTTGGTTTCTGCGAGACTAACTATTTATCCTTCTTCTATGCTTTTGTGCCGATGGATCCGTAGGCATTTATTGCAATGATGCTGTAGCAAGAGTAGAGATAACAATCCTATATAATTCAAGAGTCTTGCTGCACACTAATACAAATATTTTTCTGTAACGTTTCGTCTGACCAAGGTCACTCTTCTTCAGACATACATACACAAATATTCATCATATTTTAGGTATGTTGAATGCAATTTTGTTAGTTTTCGCGGCGCATTTATCAACTCTCCGCGGCGCACTAGTACTGTAGTAGCGCACCTTTTGGGACCGATGCATAACATCATTTTTCTTTATCAATTTTACCCTTTCATTTTTGGTGTTCCGCGAGGCGAGATAAAAAGCGTAAGTGTTTCGTGGCCAAAAAAGTTTGGGAAACGCTGCCATAGACAATATATATCATTAATCTGTACTACGTATAAATAGAGCGTAATTTTTAAAAGCTCCGAATGTTGGAAAATTTATGCGCTAATGAAAAAATCAAATACCAGATAATAGTTGTTTATTTTATCTACACAAGAGAGCTATGCCCAAATATAGGGACACGTCTGTTCGCAGTACAGTACAGTTTACCGTACCGTCAGATCACAGTCTACAAATATATTCACACCAAGCGAAGCAGTACAGTAGGACACAAAATGGCGTCCGATGTCCGCAGAACGTTTAATGACGTCATAGCAAACAACAACAAATCTCACAGAGCTAACAGAAATATTTAAAATGAATAAAAGTAATAGCCTTCTGGGGAAAAATTTTATCTTCGACGCGGCATAACGATACTTAGCAGACGTGATGTGATGCGTGCATTTTTTGGAGAGAAAAAGCGGATTTTGTAACATTCCTAATTCATGACTGCAACGTTTTGATAACAGCTAAACTCAGGGTAGTTGTCCACATATAGAAATCTTGTATATTTGTTTTCCTAGAATGTTCTCGATCTATATTCTGCGATATAAATAGAATTTAATATTCAAGTCTTCAGAAATATAGTATATATATTGTTGAATAAATTGAATAGATTTCCCAACCTTTGTGAATTTATTGTATTGCATTGACAAAAATATTTGTCCGGCCCGTTTCAACACAGTTTGAGTCATATCCGGCCCGCGATCAAAAAAGTTTGGTGACCCCTGGCTTAGAGTGATGATGCCATATAATGATGAATTATAGGTGCTCCAGGAGTATGTGTACCAATATGGGGGTAACCAATTTTGTTCGTCTACTTTACATGAAGTTGTGTAGACGGAAGCCTATGGGCAGTGGGTATATTCACTTGGCTAACAAAGACAGTCCCCACACTTTTAATAGAACTAAAATAAGGAAAATCGGGATAAAATTATGGCTTAACCCTAACCTGGCACACACACTACGGGAGTACCTAATTATATTATTAGATATCTTTACATTAAACTCACAAACCTTGGTGATGAGAGAGCAGGACTCAATAAGCTTGGAGTGAGAGGAGAAGATGGTGATATCTCACTTGGTCCTGGACTTGATACACTTGATGAAGGTGAAGTTTCAATGGAATGTTTTGAACCTGGAATAGGAATTGTAATTCGCAAATGCTCTGATAATTCTAACCATTATATGGCTATAACGGATTAATAGGGCCAATATTCGTTCATACATAACAAATTTCCAGTTAAAATTTCACATTACTTAAAATAACGAAATAATTTTACAGCACTCAAAACTTACTTTTCTTTTTTCGTTCTTTTGAAGATGACTTCGGTTTCTCATCTGGAGGATTTTTCACGAATTTTTCCCCAACATTGATGGCCACACCTAGTTTCTTAGCTGTGTCAATAAGCTGTTGAAAATATCACAAAGTCACTCAAAAATTAAATATTACCGGTACGTAATCCTGAACATCAACTTCCTGGACATGCGGGAGAAAAAGTGAATCATCGAATTTGAAAACAATCAATTTGATTCTAATACAGGGTTAAAATAATCTGTGCAGTGCAGGCTACACATTCCAAAATTGGATGATAAATGATACAAAAATTGTAGTTACCTACTCATTCCGATACATATTTCAATTTAACCCCGGTATCTGCAATCAGAATTTTTCTGCTTATCTTCACAGACATATTCAAAAAAGACTCATTTTCACGCCCTTGAAGTAAAACTTGTACAAATGCAAACCCGCTAGTCCACAGTCGATAATAAAAATAAACCTCTTTGTCTAAATTAGGATCGGAAGAATCTTTCATAACTTTTTCAAGTTTTCCGAGTAATTTCTGAGCTTGTTTCGAATCTTTCGTTTGTTGAAGAAACATGATATAATTGATAGTTATGTAAACATCATCACTAAGAAATGAGAAAAAGTACAAAATGTGAGTATGCGTGAGAAATAGCGTTATCCAAAAGTTGTTTTGACATTGCACAACATTACATCTCTACGAGGCTCGGACTAAGTTAACCAGATGAAATAACATAACTAAATGATTGATTTACTGAAAACAGTACATAAAAATATTTTCCTGGCTTCGCTATCATAAGAACAAACCAAATATTCAATTCCTAGTAGCGCCGAGGAGTCGAATGTTTCTACTGATATTGCAGTTGGAATTTCAAACTTTTAATAATGATAACAAATGTCAATTTGTCTGTAATTTCTGACAAAAACTTAAAGAAAATCAGTTTGACTAAGCATTGTCCACAAACAATTAAAGAAAGCATGAATCTGCAAACCCTATCGTTCCAAAAATTTGTGCTTTACAGAGATGAGCTGGAGTGAGAATCGAAATTTCCTCTCCAAGTTCAAGTAGTTAGCCGGTAATAGTTGGCAACCATGACATATTTTTAAGTATTAATCTTTCTCATCCTTGATTTTAACCAATCTTAATATATGAACATATTGCAGCTAAAGATCTCACGGTTTTAATTGAAGAGCTTCCTGGTATGATTTTCTTGCACTCTCAGTTTGACCAAGGTGATTCAATGAAACTAAAATTGTAATGATAGTTTTGTTAGCAAATATATGATAATTTTGAAAATGTTCGTATTAGTGACTGCATACCTGCAATCAACATGTAAATATCAGCATTTTTCGGCTTCAATCTTAGTGCAGTGCTCGCAAACTGAAACGCACTTGCATATTGCTGCATCGTTGCATGAAGAAGACTCAAATTATATAAAATTCTCCAATCGAACGGTGCTAGGTATGTTGCTCGCTTTAAACAACTGATAGCCTGTGACAGGAGAAAATTAATAAGGTCAAATAAGGTTCAACCAACAAAATTCAGAATTGTTCGCTCGAACATGACAAGATTAAATCAAATATTTAGTAGAACACTATTACAATGCCTCGTTTTTTCTTTCATGACTTTATAACTAACCAAGATGGTGGCACACTTCACCATTTTTCATTTAGGCTAGAGACATTTGAAATTGTTTGGAGAACAAGGTTTTACATGAAACCTTGCCCTTGATTGGCAGACAGACATTTTGTTTATCTACCATGAAAATCAAATCTGCTGTCGATATGGCAGCATATTAGGCATCTATGAAGCAGGTCATTTGAATGGCAATTGGGATCAACCCTATATCCATTATAACCATCCATCTTGGGAATTAAGAAACTGTGGTCTTGCAGAGTAGGATGGATGCTGATGAAAATCTTCAAAGACGAGTTCCATTGGCATCCCAAATTTCGTTACTAACAATTCAGCAAGACTAGTTTTCAAATTCTAGATACAAGCATATAGTTGGCATTCTCAATCACCAATACTTACGGCAACATATTTCTTTTTTCCGTAAAAGCACATTGCGATGTTATTCCACAGTGCTGCACTTTCAGGAGCTTTTTGAGCAGCAACTCTATATTTAGTCAGAGCTACATCAAAATCACCATGTACTTGCATAAGAGAACCTGCTGCTAATATTGCCTGTAAAACAAGGATAGGATAGGATAGGATTTACATATTTATCCCGAGGGAGAGAAAAGCCGATAAGACGGCTTATCCATATGGCGAACCACGGCCTCTCGTCCGGTTACCATTCCAAGTCGGGTATGGGATTAGTTTTACTGTATTGTTTGTTTTCGGAAGCATGGACTTGGTGGTGGAGGAAGCCGTAACCGACCAGCGGTTACGTGAACCACCCAACGACAGCGAGGGGTCCAGCAATCCTCTCGCATATAACCATCCCTGCATGAGATTCGAACCTGCGAACCCTCGCAGAGTAATTAGAGGTGCGGTGGCGAGCGTATTCCTAACGCTTAGCCCGTTGAGCCACACCGCCGCGCCAGGAAAGTATGCTTCAGTTAATGACAGGGAGAAGAATTTTGAATGCAAATTCAACGCTTGCAATGCTTTTAATTTGAATTCAGTCATGATTTCTATAAGTAATATTTGCAATTTTCACTTTTATTTATGTGCTCAGCATATGTCACCATCACCATAAAGATGTAATTTAGAACACAAACATTCAAATGGCTTTGAGATACCACGAAATACAGGGTGACTCCAAAAAACAGGACCGATACAATATGTTCCTAATGGACTGGGTTCCATTTTTTCGGATCAATCTATATTTATCTTACTCTGATGTTTGTTTGGTACTCCCGAAGTATGTGAACCAAGATGGCGGACACCGGAACGTGGTATAGGCCTGATTACATGTCCACTGGGACCGGTCTAGCAGACTACATATGGAAACTATTTCACGCTTCAGTGGTTCGCCTGCGATTCAAATTCGTGCTATCGGTCAACAACATCACACCACCTATCGAGTAGGTCTGGAAGTGAGCTGCACTGGTTTTGCTCAGTCGCTTTGTCCTGCTACTCGAGAAATCGCAGTTACGTAAGTCGATCGAAGGGGTACCGGTATGAAAGTTGCTTTCTTTTTTATCTCTGGTAAGTGAGTTGCATTTCAACAAATAAAAATTTAGCTAAATAGTGCTAGAAGTTCAATGTAAACCTCTTCCTCATCTACTGTGTCGCTGTTGAACACAAATTTGAATTACCGGTACTTGTACCGGTGGGAACCCAGTGCGGCATGCTTGGTTGTTGTTTTGAAACAGAATTAAATCTTATGTCCAAAGATTTATTGGTATGAATTGAGCGCAATACGACTCTTGTTGATAAACTTCAGTTTCCCATTTCCCAATGAGAAATTTTTTGGAATTTCACCATACAGCGATAACTCATCCCAGTTGGTACCGGTACCCTAACTGTACATACCGGTACAAATTCAATGCTTCAGTGTCGGTAACGTCCCAGTAGTAGGGCGATATTAAATAATGAAAGTGCTTCTATTTGCATGTGATGAGCCCACTTCACACAAAGTGTTCGGTTGATAAACTGTAATTGTTTAAATTTGGTTGCCAGTAGACTACTGGTAACTGTAGGATTACCGTAATTTTTGAATGGATCGTGTGGCATAAGGTGCGAACCTGCATATAATTTTGATATATACTTTAATTAACATTTGTATTGAATTTATTAACAATGAAATATACGCAGTGTTCGCAAATCATGACTTATTTGTTTTAGTCCGGCAGCTCTAAAACTGTTTCTTATCTCGTTGGTTTGGACATGTAATCGAGGGTGCTAAGTGGTCTCCGAGACCACTTCGACATTTCCGAATCGAACCGGTTCGCTGGACTGGTTTTGATGGACATGTAATCAGGCCTTATGTGTACCAGGCTAAAGTTAGGCTATAATTTCAGGTTCGAATACTAAGGGAGTCACTTGGCTAGTACCCCAACTCGTAATAGAGCTAAAATAAGGGCAATTGGAATAAAATTATGACCTAAGCCTAACCTGGTACACATACTACGTTCCAGTGTCAGCAATCTTGGTTCACATACTTCAAGAGTACTGTTTATTTTATATGTGTGATAAACCAAAAAATGTTTGTGTGTATTTCCGAGTAATGTCATATTTACATGATGTAATGATACATAGGATGCAAAAAAACTTAATAAATACCTTATAATTCTCAGGGTCAAATGTCATTGCCTGACCAAGTAATTCAAAAGCTCGGTGGAAGTCTTGCATCCTTAAATATAACAGACCAAGAGTAGTAAGAAGATCTAAGTTTTCTGGAGAAAATTCAATACCTGAAACAGAAAGGCACTCTCAGATAAAAAGACTACTCATGCACAACATCAAATGAGAACAATGTAAGTAAAACACTGAAAATGTTATGCATTAAGAAATGTGTTAAGCCATGGATAAATGAAACATATCGTAACATCTCACCTTTCTTCAAAACTTCTACTGCTTTATCCATTCTACTTGTTTCCAAGTAAAGACGGGCTAACGTTGAATATGTAATGTCATGTTTACTTTGTTTAAGAGCTTCATTGAATGCATCCTCTGCCTAAAATAATAGTCAGAATATAAAACACAAAAATGAATTACTAATCCAGATGAGAATTTGGTGAAGGTAGCCTTCTCTTTTTATTGTACAGTACATTTCAGGGATAACTACAAATATACAATTTCTTTTATCGAAACTTAGCAGATAACTTTGATCAGGTAAGCAGTAGTTATTTATATAAAAATTCAGATTAAATGTACTAGACTTGTTACGTTGTTAGACTTGAGTATTCTTAAAGTTCAGGATACAAAAACAACAGGTGAACCGAAATGCTCACACAAGGGATGTTTCCCTGAACATGGTCTTCTTTGTTTATTTCCATAACAATGGCCAATCAACAATAGGTTCAAAGAAATGTAACAATTTAAAATCAAATCATAACACCTTTTAAGTTTCGAGCATGGGTATAAACACTGACTAATTTTTTGCAATCTTCGGTTTTATTCGACAGTTTCATTAATGCCCCCCCCCCCCCACAATAGCATTGAAAATTTTACAACAGTAAAACTTCAGAAAAATTTTGAATGGTTTAGGATCAGGAAAATATCCAATAATAATTACCCACCATATCATATTGTTTCAAATGTAGAAAACAATCTCCTAGTTGTTGAGATATTTCCCAGTCATCGTTGCATGATAAAACTGCTGCTTGTTTGTAACATTCTATAGCATTCTTGTACTTCCCTGTGAGAAACCTGAACATTGAAATAAACAGTTTTAAATCCATAGCAAAACGTAACAATTCTAATCCCAAAACTTACAAATTCTTTGCAACTTGTTTCAAAATTTCAGAACTTTTTGGGTTGATTTTAGCACAAGCTTGTAGAAGTTCTGTTGATTCTGCAATTCTGCCTTCAGTTCTAGCTATCATTCCTTGAACATATAGAGCGTATTCACATTCTCCACCAGTTTCTGCCAACTGCTGTAGTATCAAGTCCTACAAAACCAATATCAATATATTTTGACACGGTACGGTAATCACTTCTCTCCTGATGATCAGCTTTTAGACATGATATCGCCACAGTACCAAAAGTAACTTATTCAAAAATGGACTTTTTTGAATTTCTGTCATAATGGACCAGGGCCCATCGTTTGGTCGGGTTTTCGAAGCTTTATCTGTTTTGGGTTTGATCCTATGTAGTGTCGCCTTACATCCATTTTTATGTTTGCTCTTAGAACCAAACTAATACAAAAAGGCAATTTTTCAAATTTAACTGTGACATAAGCTAAATGGATCTACTGTGACAATATAGGAGACTGAATATGTAATTTTTTGTCATCTTTTAATCATTGTAAAAGGCCGTCACTTATGTAAATAAATATAAGTGATTAAAAAAATCAGGTCAGTACTATAACCTTAAGCTAATGTATAGTTCCTTATTTATGACATAAAGCTGACATATACTTGTCTTTTGAGTAAATTATTTTAAAAAAGGATTGAATACCTTTGCAGTGTGAAACTCTTGTCTGATGAAATGTTGATGAATGAGCCAGTTTCTTCTTTCAACAACTGGGAGATCTACAGCTACAATAGAAAAAGTGATTCTTTAGCATAAAATCGGAAATATTAAAACTAATTTGAGAAGCAAATATATTAGGCTAGGTATATTTAAAGTTATTATTTTTTAAAGACATATAAACCTCGCAATGAGTTTTAAACCCTTGTACTTCCATACATGACAATCATCAACATACGCATATTAGGCTAGGTATATTGAAAGTTATTATTTTTTATAGACATATAAACCTCGCAATGAGTTTTAAACCCTTGCACTTCCATACATGACAATCATCAACATACGCACAAGGTTACTTGCAGATTTAGGACCGAGAACTTCCAGCTTGAAGGCTACAGTTTCATAAAAATTTCATGTGTGTTGTTACACAAGTTTTTGTTAAATGCTGCAATTCTTAATAATGTGACATCAACAAGTCTGGAAACAGCAAATTTACATTTTGACAATCCGCTATTTATGGTAATTAACATGGATTCAGATTCTGGCCACAGAAACTTGCACATTGGCATGATTTTTAGAGTATATTTTTGGTGTCGTAGTCTCCTGCATAAGCTGTGATGCATTTTGTGATATGAAAGTAACAAGTAAGCAATGCAATAAAATTTTTCATCAACAAATACCGGTATACTACGAACGGATTGGAAGAAAAATGAGTCTAGTTGGCAGTGTAAAGATCCAGTTGCCATTCAAACTTGTTTAGACGTTTCATGTTTGAATATATTTCTTTGTTTTGTTCACTTTTCATTCGAAATACCATAAAAAGAATACCATAATTATGTTTACATTTATCGTTTTGTTCGTTTTTGCAGACAAATGACAACTGAACTATTTTTAGATTTTACATTTTACATTTAAAAAAAGTAACAATTCTGGAATTTATTTGGCAAACTTTGGCAGAGAAATAGTTGAAGATATTGCAATGAAGGCTATTCATTCTTTGATAAGAATAATTAAACAAGCGCTGGTGCATAAATCAGTTGTTTACAACTTCTGCCTCTCTTTTGTTTATGTATAAAGGGTAAACATAGGTAGTATTTGATTTTATGACTAGTTTATAATTCCTTAAAATCAGTCCATATGTTTATAACAATAGACAATGAATAATTAAGGAGGTGTTGGTTTTCGAACAGTTATTAAATTGGAATTCCAGACAACAATTAACAATAGGCTACAGCAATGAGTATCAACATCACCATTAAGCTAGAAAGAAAGCTTATTTGAAACTGTATATACTTGAATATGATTCAAGAGTCCTGCTGCGCACTAACACAAATATATTTCTGTAAACGTATATTTCTGTAAACGTTACAGAAATATATTTGTGTTAGTGTGCAGCAGGACTCTTGAATTGCATATTATGGTATTTTATTCCTGCTACAGCATCCTTGCATTACATGCATACGGATCCACTAGCGCAAAGGCATAGAGAAAGGATTGGGAGGTAGTCTGGCGCAACCTCTACTGATCTGTATATACTTGTACTGTTATTAAAAAATTCAAATATTCTAATTCAATCCGATTTGCATCGAAGTGTGATATTGAAATATGACAATATAGATATACCTTTTGCTTTTCCCCATATTATCAGTTCGAATTTCAAATTAAGGAATATTAAACCCACAGCACCACAGTATTATAACAGCAATAATGATTTTTGATGACATCAAATTTTTACACAACTGCATGATAAAAAAAGAAGCAAGACGATGAGAGCAATATTAAATATATCAAAATATTAAACATTTTAAGTTGTCCTGCATTACGGGATGTGTTAAATAATAAAATTCTTTCATGTATATAAGAATATTACTTACGTTTTTTTGTTCGAACTCTAGGTTTTGGAGTAGGAGGCTCTACTGTTACTTCTTCCTGGTTTTCTTTCGGATTTTCGATCTACGACAGGAATGTAAAAAAAATTAATATCAAATTCATAACATTGCAGTAAAATAATCTGACACAAAAGGGAATTTATAATTATGTAGATATGACAATCCACATTTTTTTAACTTCTTTTTAAAATTTATGATGACAAGAATAGAATATCAGTGGCCTCACACAAAAAAATTAAAAACATGTACCTCCTCATTTTCTGTGGATCCGGGCATAATGTATAACACTGATAGCAATTTATGCTAATGTGTTCATATTTGTCTAAATACTATTTTGCTATTAAAATAAAAATAACTATGAATTACCAGAACACATTCACAAGAAAATATATTCATACACAAAAATAATAACATCAGCAAGATCATGTTATTTTATAATAAAATTAAAACCAGATTAAATTATTCTAATTCATCTCAAACAGGGCTGTGGAAGTTTGGCATGTTATTATTGGAGTTGAAGCCATCTCTTCACACTACCTTGAGTCAGAAGTGGAATTTTGAAGGTCATAATTGAAACTCCAAAAAAAGCTAGAGACGAAATTTTCATCATTTTTTTCAAGATTTGTCAGGGTTCTGATTTTTTTTTTAAACCAGAGTCTGTTTTAATTTGATACAGACTCTAGCACTGGCGTCAGATTAGCCCTTCAATTGAATAAAGCTATAAAAAAAAAGAGCCAATAAATTTATATCAATTATTTTGAGATTAAAACAGTGAAAACTCATATATATATAAGTTGCAATTTGAAATAATTGTCATGAATTTAAATTGGGCCTATTTATAAGATATGAGAACCCTTGCATATGTTCATTTTGCTACTATAACCACCACAAAATTGGTTAGGCCACGATTCATACCAAACTCTAACAAAACCAATTCATGATATATCATAATTTTGTTGTGCGATTGAACAATTCAAATTATAACGAGAAATATAAAATAATTATGTACATAATATGTGCAGATATTTTTATCACAGATCATTTAAATGAACTTTATTAAAAAACAAAGCAGCCACAAGAAAGAATGCTAGCATTTATCATTATTATTATTCCGTTTCATGAAAAGCGACTTATTAAACAAACCAAAATCTTTTTTGGGGAAATAGTTTATAATAATAGAGTTGTTTCAAATGTTATTCACATGTTATTTTAAAACTTTTGTGTTTGAGTTATGGCCATTGGCCAGTAATATTCACTGTATAACAACAAAGCATACAGACTCAAACCTGAGCTTTTGCTTACAAGGAGGACACTCAGAACAAAATGGGGAAGTTAACATAATTAATGAGAATATCAATTCAAGATACATCATAAATATCAAGCCTTTTTTTTATAAATAACAGTTTTTGAAAATGCAGCATATGGTGGAACACTGTTTACTATGCTTATAAAAGTATATCAACCTCATTACCTCAATGCGAATAAGTGAAGAAACACTACATTATTTATTTTTAGTTCAATATGACTAGTGTACTCAGTTGAATAAAAAACGATAATTAAATTTGTCACAAATCCTAAACAACATAGGTAAAATTACATATGATAAATTGAAGCAAGCAATGTATTTTTGCTTTTGGCACAATACTTAATTACAGTGTTGAACATTGATTTTTAAATAAAAATTTGGCAAAATTACAAAATGAATCTCAATAAAAAATTATAAATAAAGAATTTTTTCATTAATATACTGATATAACTTAATCCTGAGTTAAGTTTATGTTACATTGATTTAAATTGATAATACAACCTACAAATAAAAGGTAAATTTCAATTTGATAAACATAAAAATTACAATGTTGAATAGGCCTAATGTATAACATGATAACAAGAGAAAAATATATCATATTTACAACTCATGATAAACTCAAGTGAGAAAACATGGCACTTCAGCATGACATAAAATTTCACTTCTAAATATCTAGAATGGGAAAAGATAAAATATAAATCTAGGAATTAGTTTACACCAGCAACTGCAACAGGAGCTGAAAAGCTTCTTTGCTTGAGTTGCAGAGGACGATATGCACGATTACTTGGCATTACAAAGGGTACAGGAAGTAGAAGATTAGAATTTGGTCCTTCAACAAAAAATGAAGTAGTTTTTGGCCTGGCTCGACTTTGTTTATTTGAAGGCTTAAAATCAGAAGTAAATCCAAGTCTACTGACTGGATTGCTTCCAAGTCCATTGCCACGATCATTATCGCTCATAAGAGCACTTTCCACTCGGTTTTGATATGACTGGAAAACCTCATTACGTGCAGCCATAATATCTATTATTTCTGGTTCTATTTCTTCATACAATCGGGATTCCATTGCAAAATCAAGAGGCGATGGCAATGGTCTTGATGGTAAATCAACAGATCGCCGCGTTGAAAATGCTGTTCGAGTGCGAACCGGTGTAGGTCTGGGTTTCTCTCTTACTGTCGCAGATGCAGGATTTGCCACATATTTTCCTTCAAATCCCCTGGTATACTTTCCCATTTCAACAGTCATTGGAAAATTGGTCCATTTTCCTCTGGGTGTTCTTGGACAAAAAGTTCTCTGTGATGGAAATTTGAAATTATTCTGATCTTTTAATGGAATACCTTCTTTGCCTGAAAACCCAGCATTTAAAGAATGCATTTGATATTTTCGAACAACATGTTGCTGATAGTACGAGTCACGACTACCTTTATCGAGTCGAACAGCATGCCCTCGATAAAGCATTTTAGGGAATGCTGCCTTTTTTTCATAAGGTGGAGAATATATTCCATATCCAGGAAACACTCCAGTACGATTAGAATGACTGACAATATCCATCTTTAGAGTCACATTAAGTCATTTGGAGGACTATTCTAATGTGTTGCATTTGTCAGTTAGTAATGGCTGAATGGCACAGAATACTGAAATATTACATCTGTTTTAATAAAAAATATTTCATATAAACAAAGTGATCATTGAATTGGAGGCAATGTACTTAAACGGCGTGTATCCTGAGATAAAATTTATATACAAGCAAACGATAATAGATACCGGTATAAGATTTTGGGACCTACGGTACTGAAGTTTGTGACCTGAATTCAGGTTGTGTACCAGGTTGAGGTTCAGGTTATACGACATCTTGGTGCGCATACCGGTACCTACCGTACTTCAGGAGCACCAGATTTTGAATTATTGGAATTCAGCAGCTTGATCATAAGACAGATTTTCCACATACAGATATACCGTAGGCCGTAGGCCGTAGGGTAGGTTAGTACAGCGGTTCCCGGCAGTACCGGTACCGTATATTCATCAACCTGATACTAGAACATCCATAAGTACTGAAGTACTGGAAGTAGGTAGACGGGAATAAAATTGCTTAAGCCGCCAAATGTACAACTACAAGCAAGGCTACCGGTACCGGTACAGCGGTACCGGTATGTTCCATTTGTTTCTTTCTAATGGCGTAATTGAAACAAGATATTACGAACAGTGAGGTAGCATTAGAAATAGCGCACAATGAACAATGAGGGTGTAATATTAGCGCGTTGGTACACCAAAGTTACCCTAGCAGACATCTCTCAGCAGATATCTCTCTCGTTTTCGGAACGGTGAAATAGGGTTGCCAGAAATCGATTTAACATTGCGTATAAAACGCGCTGCGGAAATATGAATGCTGGGTGAAATTCAGTTGCCAGATTTATGCCCGATTATAATCACCGTATTCCACGTAAACTTTCGTACTTTTCAATGGCCGGCCACATTTATAAAAGTGATAAAAAGGAAAACACATAATACCATCATCTCGATCAAAGTTTAATGAACTTTGTATGTCGGAAAAATGATATGATTTCTTGTCAAACATGGCCCAAACAAGAATTATACATCGAAATCACTAAATATCGGTAATACACCCAAAAATACTGCACTTTCCGACGACGTGCCCCACTTTTAGATAAGATATCCCAAAGGGGCATATTGTAAAGTCATCTCGAACTAAGTTTCATAAAATTTGTATGGGGGGAAGATATAATAATATCTTCTCAAATATGGCCCAAACAAGAATTTTACATCGAAATCACTAAATATCGGTATTAAACCCAAAAATTCTTCACTTTTCGATTACGTGTCCCACTTTTAGATAAGATATCTCAACAGAGCATATTGTAAAGTCATCTCGATCCGAGTTTTATAAAATTTGTATGGGGGGAACATATAATAATATCTTCTCAAACATGGCCCAAACAAGAATTTTACATCGAAATCACTAAATATCGGTTTTAAACCCAAAAATTCTGCACTTTTCGATTACGTGCCCCACTTTTAGATAAGATATCTGAAAAGAGCATATTGTAAAGTCATCTCGATCCAAGTTTTATAAAATTTGTATGGGGGGAACATATAATAATATCTTCTCAAACCAAGGCCCAAACAAGAATTTTACATCGAAATCACTAAATATCGGTATTAAACCCAGAAATTCTGCACTTTTCGATTACGTGCCCCACTTTTAGATAAGATATCTCAACTGAGCATATTGTGAAGTCATCTCGAACTAAGTTTCATAAAATTTGTATGGGGGGAACATATAATAACATCTTCTCAAGCATGGCCCAAACAAGAATTTTACATCGAAATCACTAAATATTGGTATTAAACCCAAAAATTCTGCACTTTTCGATTACGTGCCCTACTTTTAGATAAGATATCTCAAAAGAGCATATTGTAAAGTCATCTCGAACTAAGTTTCATAAAATTTGTATGGGGGGAACATATAATAATATCTTCTAATACATGGCCCAAACAAGAATTTTAATATAGGTGGTCTCTCCGTCGCCTTCATCTCCGTTTTCGCTTTCGTCAATTTGTTTGCCGGGCGGCCAACTACGACATGGCGTGGCGGAGATTTTGGGGACGGAGTCGTTTTCCGGCGTGGATTATCTTTCGTTGGCTCTGGGGACCAACGATGTTGCAGGATCTGTTGGCTGGGGCAAACAATCCCGAGTATACGCCGAGAAGCTGGTCGAAGCCAGCAAGCAGGCTTATCCGGGAGCCAAGGTTTGTTCCACAACTATATCTGGTCCAGTCCAGATATATTTCATGTAAATAAAAAAATTTTGTTGTTTCAATTTGATCCAAGTGGTAAACTTTTTAGTACTTTTTTCTCGGCATCGTACCAGAGCAGTGATTGATGGAGCCTAATCATAAAATATAGATATTTTTTGGATGTACAAATCCACTTAATATTTGTCGGGTTGACAGCCAATGTAAGAGAATACATGCTTCATTTTCAGATACTATTATCGAAGATATTGTCCCAGTCAAAATGTTCCACTGCTGCAGCCAATAGGGACATGGATGCGATTGCCAAGCTGCACTCTATACCTCTTCTGGATCTTGACGTTGGCAGAAATACTCGTATTAGAGCGACCATTTACATCTGTCGGATCGTGGTTTGGCGAGATACATGCAGATTCTCGAGTCCGTAGTAGCAAGAATTGTACGAAAAGGTGGGACGTTTATGGTGTCATTATTTTTGAAAAATGCAACATTCAGGGTATACGCTTAAAAAAATTGTTATTAGTATATTCATATTCAACTTCCCACCTTTTCCCTGTATTTGCTGTTAGCTTTTGACATGTACATACAAGAAATCACTTTTTTTCAATTTCGGTTGAGATGTGTTTCATGTATTCTATGTCAAAAATCTTGAAATGACCTAAAATTCACCAAAAAAATTAAAATTATTTAATTAAAATTATTTTTAAAAAACAAATCTTCTTTTTATCAATTCAGGTTATTTTAGTCACTAAAAAGTTATTCAAAATGAGCTTGCATTAATTCTTCGAAATTTTACACATAAAACAAAAGAAACATATCTTTGAAATATCAAAATAATAAAAAATAGCACAAGCCTGCAATTATACTGAAAGTATAATTTTGGGGAAATAGCCCCTATTTTTTAAATACAAAATTAAAAAAATATTGTTCGTTTTCTCCAGTTTTTGTGGCGTAATGAATCAAAAAATATTTATTAGAAGCCGGTAACAAAATGAGTTTTACACAGTGTAATGTATTGAAATTATAATGATGATTCGTGCAAATGTTAACATATGCTAACAAAAATTATTTTTAGACAAAACTCCCGAATCTACACAAATAACTACTGGAAGCATATTATGTAAGTATGACTCTTGCTTGTTTTTGAAGAATGATTTCCCCGCTGTAGGTTTTACTGTTGGAACTGGGACAAAATTAATCCCTACTTCTAGTAGATCGATTTATCGACGAAGGAAAAGGATCATCTGGAAGCCCTTCCTCTTCGACTCTGTTTCATCCTTCAGCACTCAGCCCCACCCACCCCTCGTATCTTTGGTGTTCTATGCCAGTGTGGTTGCTCGGCCAAAAACTTCAGTTTCCTTGCAACCTGCGCCATGTTTGCGTCCCTCTCATTCCCGACCATCTTACGCCGAAAGGTCTCTACGGCCTCATCTTTCACTACTTCTATCGTTTCTACTGGGGCTATTTCTGATATTACTATGCTGCACGGGAATCAACAGCCAAAACATACTAGCAGGTCTTTTTTTTCTCCTCCTCCCTCTTTTAGTAGATCTGATAAAGTCAAAAGTAATTGTCCCATTCCACGGAAGAAGTTACAGAGATCATCTTCGCCTGATAAAAATGCTTACCCTTCTTTAATTTATAAACAGTCGGGCGGTGTGTTTTCCGAAAACAAATTGTCAACTCAGTCGTTGGTAACTGCAATAAATGATATGGGATCATTTAATCCAAATTCCCAAGCAGCCTGGAGCAAATTAGCAAAACTAATTTGGAACAAAAAATTTGCCAAAGGTGAATTGAAAAATTATATTCGAAAATTGCAACATTTTTGGAACAATAACTCAAAAACACTGAAAATTCATTTCCTGACACATCAGGCGATGAAGGATTTAAAAATATTAAAAGGGATGACCATTCTTCTGATTTTCATTCTGAAATTAAAATTAGCAATTTGACTACCAAAATTTGTCACAAAGAAAACACACCGCCTACGTCCCTGAAAGAGAGCTGTGCTAACAAATTGAAGCAGGTTAGTAACAATTCATACATATTTTTAGACGCGCATGGAACTGATTTTGATGATAAGGTGCGCAAACCTCAGTGCAAGCACATGGTATTTGGGAACGTGAAAATCCAATAAAAAATGCAAAATTTAAAATGGACACCAAGAATTGGAACAGTCTTTTCAACTCCGTTGCTGGGCAAAAAATAAAAAATTCTAATTGGGCTGATGTTTTTAGAGAAGCTATCAAAGAGAGTGACCCTTACTGTTCATATGCATTTCGATGGCACACAGTAAATTCTGGAATATTGGCTAATCGTATTTTTGCTTGCAGTGGGCATTGTAGCTTCACAGGTTGCAGTCGCAAAATTTCTGTAGTATCCTATCGCAGAGACCTCCGCATGTTCCATGTTAGGTATTCGGGAAATAGGTATCACGTTGGTATTAAATCAATCCGACTTAAGGGAAAACGGCGGAAGGAAATGAAAGGAAAATTGATTCATTCTCTTCCTCGTAATATGTATTTGAAAAAAATTGGTGCGCTCTCTTCCGATGTTTTTCATTCTGGTAATAGGGACGATGCTCCGTCACAGGCTGTATTAAAAAAGGCGCGATATGAGGCTAGAATGGTAAATGTCCCAGATTTCGATAATCAATGGAATTCGCTTGACTGTTTAAGAAAATTTCAGGCCGAAAAAGGCAATAATAAGTTAATTCGTGGAACCTTGCAGCAAATTTCACGAGTTCCACCAGGTATTATGTTGTGGTCGGAACAGTCTGTAAGAATATTTATCCATAATGCTCAAAATGACATAATTTATATTGACGCTACTGGTGGGATACTTCCTTCCGGTGCCCAAAGTCACTATTACATTTACGAAAT